TCTTCATATATATCTATCTCGGAATACAACCAAATTAGTTTCAATCTCTAATTCGATCATTAATATCAGTGTATAAATCTATGAACGGTAAATTCTCTTCAATAGGAAAAAAATCAAATAAAACGTTTTTATTAACACTACACTCTTACAGCCATTAGACAATCTTTTTTTTTTAACATCAAAAGTTGTCTTAAGAAAATGTGACAAATCAATTTTTTAAAAACATGTTTTTATCATGGAAAATGATTCAAAGAACTTATCTTCTTTCACGAACGACAGTTTACAATTGGAATGATTAGAAAGAAATACGTAAATTCTCTTCAAGTTTCACGAAAAAAGTCAAATAAAAATCGTTTTTATTTAACACTATATAGTCGTTCTAATTCATTCTTAGGAAAATGACCGACTTGCCATTAGACAATAAATTTTTTTAACATCAAAAGTTGTAAAAGAAGAAAATGAAAAAAATTCAATTTGAAATTTTCAATTTTGAGAAAACATTTTTAAAGCTAACCATATAAAAAGGTAATTCAAAGAAAATAATTTTTATTTTAAATTTATTCCCTAAGAAACGAAATTTAATAAATGTTGTTGTTTTTATTAAAATTATTGAGCACTATTTAATGATTAGAAATTTGTTACAACGTTTCGGCTGTTGTCTGATCAACAAAGATGGGACAATAGTTTCAATTTAAATAGTGTACATAAGTCGATTTCAGAAATATAAAGATACTGATTGAAACATTTATTTAATATGAACAAAGATGAGGACAATAGTCCGAATTCTAAATCATTCTTTTCAGAAATATAGACAGATAATGAAGGGCCGAAACGTTTAACAAATATAAATAAAGATATTTGATCCGAATAATGTAAATAGTGTAATTATAATCAAGAAGAAAAATAGACAAAAAAAAAAAAATATTCGGTTTTGAAATTTTCAATTTTGAGAACACTCTTAAATATTCTTAAAGCTAACTATGTAAGGCAAGGTAAACTATGAAGGATGCTAAATAATTTCATTTGTTCTCTAAGAAACGAAATTGAATAAATTTTGTTGATTTTTTATTAAAAAGATTTTATTGAGCACTATTTACATTATTCGGACTATAAGTATAGGGAAAACAAAACAAAACATTTAACTGGTTCTAAATTTAAATGTTTCGTTTTTAATTAAAATCTATCACGACAATAATTTTAAATTTTAAATGCATGATTTGCGTTTACCACAAGGGGTAAAATTAGAGACCTGATAATAATTTTAATAGATTTATCGCACATTTGATCATATTGAGTCATTTAATGCGAAACCCTGGAATCGGACAATAGAATAAATCCGTTAAACATTTCTTGATTAATTTAAAAAACTTTTTAAAAAAAAAAAAAAGAAATACCATATATATCTCTTGAAACTTGTTCAATTTTCTCAGACATGTTTAACGAACTAGTACATATTTATATCTTAAACTTAGAATGTCTTAAAAATGTCCATTAAAAGTGCAATTTCCCCAAACCTTTTGCGTTGTTCTATAAATGACAAGATGGCTGGAGAGTTCAGTGTCGCCAGACTCTGGCAGACAAGCAACTCATTTCAAAATCAAATGACATTTATTGAAAACACGCGAGCCGCTCAGAGCCTGGTTTTATTGAATCGAAGAAAATAGTGACAATAATACAATTTAATTGACGTTGAAAAAGCTTTGAATGTCTTTTGAATATATCGAAACGTCATCGCTGGTATCATGACCCCGGGGACATTTATCGCTCGAGGGAGCCCTTGTCTGGCTTCCCTGGGCTCTGAAATGTTGACGGTAGAGGTGTGTGTGGTAGCTGGATGCGTAAAGAAGCCCTGACCAAAGAGTTGTTGCTGGTTTCAATTGCTGATCCTTCGGTAATGTTTGTTGTTGAAAGATGCTTTGATTATTAGGCTTTTTTTTTTTTTTTACATTATTTCGTCAATCTCTTAAGGCGTTTCTATGTTTTCCTTTCTATTTTTCTTCTTATTCCCGCTTAAAACTCTTTACCGTAAAACGTGCAGAAGTTTTTTTTCTTATCACTTTATTCTTAAGGAACAGATTTATTTTATTCTTTAATTGCTTCAATCTTTACGCAATTTTTTTTTCTTACAGTAGAATTTTAAGCTTTCTTCTTAAACACGGTCGCATTCCGCCATTTGCTTTTTTGCCGTACAGTTTTATTTTCGTCAAACTTTCTTTACCTTTCAATAATTCTTACCATACTGGCATAACTTATTCTTTAACGTTTCATTATATGTCCTTCATTTTTAACTTATCGTACAGTTATTAAAATTTTATTTCTCTCCATTTTTAACTTATCGTACAGTTATTAAAATTTTATTTCTCTCCATTTTTAACTTGTCGTACAGTTATTAAAATTTTATTTCTCTCCATTTTTAACTTGTACAGTTATTAAAATTTTATTTCTCTCCATTTTTAACTTGGCGTACAGTTATTAAAATTTTATTTCTCTTTTTAACCAGTTTTAAAATTTTATTTCTTCCATTTTTAACTTGTCGTACAGTTATTAAAATTTTTTTCTCTCCATTTTTAACTTGTCGTACAGTTATTAAAATTTTATTTTTCCATTTTTAACTTGTCGTACAGTTATTAAAATTTTATTTCTCTCCATTTTTAACTCCATTTTTTAACTTATCGTACAGTTATTAAAATTTTATTTCTCCATTTTTAACTTAAAAGTACAGTTATTAAAATTTTATTTCTCTCCATTTTTAACTTGTCGTACAGTTATTAAAATTTTATTTCTCTCCATTTTTAACTTGTCGTACAGTTATTAAAATTTTATTTCTCTCCATTTTTAACTTGTCGTACAGTTATTAAAATTTTATTTCTCTCCATTTTTAACTTGTACAGTTATTAAAATTTTATTTCTCTCCATTTTTAACTTGGCGTACAGTTATTAAAATTTTATTTCTCTCCATTTTTAACTCAAAGTACAGTTATTAAAATTTTATTTCTCTCCATTTTTAACTTGTCGTACAGTTATTAAAATTTTATTTCTCTCCATTTTTAACTTATCGTACAGTTATTAAAATTTTATTTCTCTCCATTTTTAACTTGTCGTACAGTTATTAAAATTTTATTTCTCTCCATTTTTAACTCAACGTACAGTTATTAAAATTTTATTTCTCTCCATTTTAACTTGTCGTACAGTTATTAAAATTTTTTTTCTCTCCATTTTTAACTCTCGTACATTATTAAAATTTTATTTCTCTCCATTTTTTAACTTGTCGTACAGTTATTAAAATTTTATTTCTCTCCATTTTTAACTTGTACAGTTATTAAAATTTTATTTCTCCCATTTTTAACTTGTACAGTTATTAAAATTTTATTTCTCTCCATTTTAACAGTTATTAAAATTTTATTTCTCTCCATTTTTAACTTGTACAGTTATTAAAATTTTATTTCTCTCCATTTTTAACTTTTTATTTTTTATTTCTCCATTTTTAACTCAAAGTACAGTTATTTTTATTTCTTCCATTTTTAACTTGTCGTACAGTTATTAAAATTTTATTTCTCTCCATTTTTAACTTATCGTACAGTTATTAAAATTTTATTTCTCTCCATTTTTAACTTATCGTACAGTTATTAAAATTTTATTTTCCATTTTAACTTGTACAGTTTTAAAATTTTATTTCTCTCCATTTTTAACTTGGCGTACAGTTATTAAAATTTTATTTCTTCCATTTTTAACTCAAAGTACATTATTAAAATTTTATTTCTCTCCATTTTTAACAGTTATTAAAAATTTTATTTCTCTCCATTTTTAACTTATCGTACAGTTATTAAAATTTTATTTCTCTCCATTTTAACTTGTCGTACAGTTATTAAAATTTTATTTCTCCATTTTTAACTCAACGTACAGTTATTAAAATTTTATTTCTCTCCATTTTAACTTGTCGTACAGTTATTAAAATTTTTTTCTCTCCATTTTTAACTTATCGTACAGTTATTAAAATTTTATTTCTCCATTTTTAACTTGTCGTACAGTTATTAAAATTTTATTTTTTTTAACTTTACAGTTATTAAAATTTTATTTCTTCCATTTTAACTTAACGTACAGTTATTAAAATTTTATTTCTATTTTTAACTCAACGTACAGTTATTAAAATTTTATTTCTCTCCATTTTTAACTTGTACAGTTATTAAAATTTTATTTTTTTCCATTTTTAACTTGGCGTACAGTTATTAAAATTTTTATTTCTCTCCATTTTTAACTCAACGTACAGTTATTAAAATTTTATTTCTCCATTTTTAACTTGTCGTATTTTAAAATTTTATTTCTCTCCATTTTTTACTTATCTTTTAAAAATTTTATTTCTCCATTTTTTAACTTATCTTTATTAAAATTTTATTTCCCATTTTTTGTCGTAATTATTAAAATTTTTTTTTCTTTCCATTTTGATTTATTCTTCTTTAAACCATTTTTATTTCTTCCCATTTTTTAATTAAAGTTCCTACCTTCTTTAAATTCTCTTCCCATGTTCTTAAAACCGTACAGTTTAACCTTTATTTAAAAAACATTCTTAAAGTTTCCTACATTTATTATTTGCCTTATCATTTTATCATTCTTTTATTGCCACAATTTATTCTTAAAACATTTATTTTATTCTTTAATTGCTTCAATCTTTACGCAATTTTTTTTTTCTTACAGTAGAATTTTACCTTTCTTTTAAACACGGTCGCATTCCGCCATTTGCTTTTTTTGCCCACACAGTTTTATTTTCATCCGTTTCTTTACCTTTCAATTTTACCATACTGGCATAACTTATTCTTTAACGTTTCATTATATGTCCCACATTTTTAACTTATTTATCCGTTATTAAAATTTATTTTCCATTTTTAACTTATCGTTTATTAAAATTTTTTTCTCTCCATTTTTAACTTGTCGTACAGTTATTAAAATTTTATTTCTCCATTTTTAATTGTACAGTTATTAAAATTTTTATTTCTCTCCATTTT